CTGATGTGTTAAAGATAAAGTTCAAGTCTAAGTAATGATTAGTGCCAAAAACTTCAGGCCAACCGACTTCAGCCTTCTTTCGTAATACTTCAGCTGTGTCCTAAGTGAGAAATTTAAGACAACTACAGAGAATTTAAATATGTTTGAAAACTGAGCTTGACTTCAAATCAGTGTTAGGTTTACTGAGAAACAGGCTTTTTGTAAAAGATATTCTAAATCTGTGGCCCTCTGTACTGACTTCTCATTCTTGCTAAACTCATTCTGAATAGGCAGCATTGACCTTTTAACTCCGATAATATCAGCGTCCATGTACATTGGGAAGACTGTGCCAGACATTATGGTCCTGATAATAAAATGTTCTACAAATGAACAAAAAGGCAAATGTTATAAATAGGAAATTAGCACCACCTTTCCTCTGTCTTGTTGCTTTAATATTTCTGTTAACACTAAACCAATATGTAGAACACCTTCCTGAGATTAAAAGGAGTACAAACTTCTAATAGCATTACTAACGATTTGATATAAAAATCCGCAGCTTTGTAAGGACAATAAATATTTCTAATTAGTCATCATTTTTCCTTTCTTGTTCTTTAATGGGAGAACTGTGTTTTAGAATAGGGATTAGTCTTGTAAAATTTCATTTTAAAAAAATAAGTTTTCATTTTTCTTGAAACATAAAACAACCAAACCATGCATCTGCTTACTTCCTTTTTTGTAAAGCCACCTGGTTTTTGTAACCAAAAATCTTAGCCTTGGTCCCAGAAAGCATTCTTCTGGGGTGGCCCTCCAGGTCCCCTTGCAGCAAGGAGGCAGGCGGGTGCTGGCTGAGGCCGGTGACGTTCACTGTGGCTGTTGGTGAGTGCGGGACTGGAGAATGAGCCACACCTTGGGAAACCTATTGAGATTTTGTCTGACTCTGTTGTGATAAATAAATAATATTGCAGTCAGATGTACAAATGGCTCCATTACAATAGTTTGGGGCATTTATAAATGTATAATAACTTCCCAAACAAATGAGAATGTCTGTAAAATTACCTGAAGTTCTTCAGCATGCTTGTTTTCCAAATTACATAAAATTCTAGTCCAGGTTTCTGATGGACTAATGAAGAGATCAGGTTTCCTCCAAATGACTTGTTGTAGGTTAAGTATCCTAACAACAAAAGGAGGCAGGAAAAACTAATGACTTCTAGTCATTTTATTATGTCATGCTCAATCCATTGTGTTTTGTTGCCAGGTTTTTTTCGTATCCTCATTTCTTATGCTTTGAGGAGTGCAACAGTTTACTTTTTAAGTGCACAAATAAAGCAAACGTAGTTTATACCTACAAATAATGTTGATTTGTGTGAATCTATTGACCCTATTACTACCAGCATGGTTTTCTGTTGTTGATGAGTTGTTACATTCTCCTTCACCCTTCTGGATCATTCCAACGGGCTCTGGCAATGTTACAGCTTCATTGGTGGCTTTGGGACCTAATTCTATGAGTGTAAGTCCACAGGAAAAGTCACATAGTATGTGCCATGTTCAAGGTGATCCTGATGTCCTGTTTATATTGAGAAAGAAATATAGCCAGAGAAAGCTATTGACAATTTTTCTTCGGAAAGCCACAGGCTGAAATGTTTTCTAGTCCTGGAAGCAGTAATCCTTTGCTTAATTTTATGGGCATATGAACTACTTCTGTTTATTTTTGAAGGTAATATGTTGATTGTTATTGGAATCACTCAGATGCTGATTGGCAGGTCCCTTCAGCTGTTGGTTGTCCTGAGATTAGTAGGTGTGGTGAGGGTGAGGCTCTCAGCCTGATGAACACTCAGGAGTGGAAAATAGCTTTGTTAACAAAAGGGCAAAAACCGTGTCTGCTGACCCTGTTGCTAATGCGCTTATCAAATAAGCTTTCTTCCGCAGTTAGACAAAACCAGATGTGTGAAAAAAAATAGAAGAGGGCTTTCAATCACAACAGAGCTTAGCTCCCACAACTACATTGAAGCAGGCCGGCTCTCTGGAGCATCCCAGTAGTCCCTGAAATCTCTGTCCGTGGGAGTTGAGGGAGAGCGACTGCCATCGGAGCTTAGCTCGGCACGGCAGTGCTTCTCCAAAGGTCGTCCCCCGCTCGCTGTGAGGGTGTGTGCACAGCCGAGGTATGTTGCTGCTGTCTGTAAGCACTCGCAGATGATGGGGTTTCCCACCACGCTTCTGAAAAACATACAGTATTCCTGAAACTCTTGCTCAGAGGATGGTAATGTATTGAGTGGCTATCCGGCATCTAAGCACGCTGTATGTCTCCGGAGGTTGCAGCCAGCCATTCTGTAACCAGAATTCAGAGATGTCACAAGTGACTGAACAAACAAATATTGCCAGTTAATGGTTAAACTCTCAATTTACTAAAGCATTTGTTACCAGTTTGTGAAAGAGATCAAACAACTGTGAATCATAACCTTGGCTACTAATTAAATCCTTTATTCCCTTCCCTCATCGCAGAAGCATTTAATCTCCGGGAATCAGGACAGCCTGTTGTGCAGAATTAGATTTTACAGCATAAGCAGAAACAAGCTTACTGTAAGGTTTCCTACTGTAGCTGGAAATGGGAAGGAATAAAATGAAAATATGAACTTTCCTTCCTGGCATGGAAGTTCATGTTAGCACTGAACAATGATTGATGTAAAATAGCTGCATTGGAAAGTCATGTTGGTGGCATAGTTTTGTTATTTCACTGAATGGCGAATATCATTTTTATTATCCAGCTGTCTGTCTTATAGATGAGACTCATCATCTAGACAGAGAATGAGGGATTTGGTGTGCTTTGCTAGTGACCGTCTGTCCCAAAGAAAAGTATTTAACTCAGAAATAATGGACTGTGAAGAACACCCCAGAGGAAATGAGGCATAAACCAATATACTACAAGGAGTCTTATTGCAATTGAAATTTATTCTGTTTCTCATAAGAGGTTTCTGTGTGCGTTTGCGTGTAGGATGCATAGCTGTATTACAATTACACATCCACACCTTTAATATTTAATAGCAAATTAAGCAGCATTTCTCGTTCTGGCTCCCATCTCTGTGAAGCAGAACTTAAAAACCCTGAACACTGTTTCCTTTGTGTTCTGGGGAAGTCATCCTTGTCCCTAGCAGCGGAGTGATGCAGCAAGGGCTCACAGGACGGGAACACCATGAACCAGCATCAGGCTAACTCTGTTCACCGGGACTCAATCCAAACAGGCAGCCATCCCAGTTAGGAGCGAATTTCCATTTCTGTAACATGAACCATGATCTTGCAGGCAAATCTGCAGGAACAGGGACCTCGGGAGAGTGTCACTGAGCCGCCTCAGTAGGGTATTAAGAGGGAAGGGCCTTGGTGTACACATCCAACGGCACATTCACAGATTGGGGGATAATGATTGAGGCACAGTCACTTTCTATAAACACGCTCACAGTCTTAGTGATCTGTAGGCCTGTGGTGAAAAGCTGTACATTATTAGTTTGAAAAGCAACCATATTTTACACTGTATCTGGAGAAAGCACTCTTTTCTTGATGTCATTGCTAAATCTGAACAGTTTCTTTAACAAAACGAAACCCCTTGAGAGGCAGTACCTACAAGTAGAAAATGAGAGCTTTTTTTGGTTCTGTATTTGCCCTTCAAGAAAGGTATTTTCCCACTAAAAAGTGTGAGTTTTCAGAAAGGGAACGCCCCAGCTACACTTGCCATGCAGTTCAGAGGACAGACATCCACCATTTGCACATGCAGAACTTCTGCTTGCTGGGGGAAATTTGTCCTGAGGAAATATGTGAATACTCACTAAAATTCCAGGTTATATTTAATTGAAGAGGCTTGGATAATTACTGTGCTACGTCATACCAAAGACCCAAACCTGTACAGAAATTAAATATGGTTTTTCCATCCCATAGTGAGTATGAACGTGGTCAGATTCAGTACAGGCACTGCTTAGTGACATCTCAATGCACCAGTCTATTATCATTGCTAATAATAATTTTATAAAGATAAAACATCTGCAATATCTAACTCTGCTTTTACTGCTGCTTCCCCAAAGCCATCACTAGAAGTCTAGTTGGGATGAGAGTAAGACATGCTAGATGTTCATTCATTTAAAAGAAAAGAAAGACTGTGCATTAATGTCATACAAGTACATCTTGATAAGAGTAATAGAATGAGATAGTAGAATAGATCATTGGCATAGCTTAAATGTTTGATTTGATATTTTAATGTTAAGAAGAAAAATCGATCATTTTTGCAAACTTTGAAAAATTTAAAATATCTGTTGCTTTTAATGAATTGTTTAAAAATTAATGTCAGATACTATGAAAATCTGTTATTTTAAAGTAGCAAGAGCAAATTTTTTTTTTATTTCTGTTTTCAGTTCATATGCATGTGCTTGAAAATGGAGCTATGTTTGTTTAAAGACCTTCCAGATTGTTTTGTTTTTATAGATACTTACTGTTTGGTTTTGGGATACGTGTGTGTAGATGTTGCATTCAGCTACCACAAGATCATTTGGATTGTTTAGCAGTCATCTCAAAAATCTTCAAAGACTTAGGGAAAAAAAAAAATAACAAAAAACCCCAACCAACTAAAAAAAACCCAAAAACCTAACCAAAAACCCAAAAGCTGGAATTCTAGCTTGAGCGTGTATAAAAGCTGTGTATGGCTGAATATGCAGGAACTTGATAGCTGGGCTTTCCTCAGAGAAGAAATCGGGAAGGATGGGTGGAGGTTTGCTTAGACATGGGAGGAGGTTATGTGGACACTGCTTTTTACCATCAAATGTATGCAAACCTGGCATCTGTCAGATGAAATTGTGGATTTTTATAGCCGCCGTGGAAGGTGGGGAAGGTCAACACAGTGCTGTGTTGTGCTCCCAGGCTGAATCGCAACTGCTTACATGACACGTTCACATGCTGGTGAAGCATTTCCTGCAGGCTGTTGTTTTGATTGTCTGGAGGGAGATGCTCTTTCCCCCCACTCACCTTCCTCTTTTTTCCCACAGGCTGCGAGAACACCACCGTGCTGCAATTAAGGTGATTCGTAGGATGCAGTATTTTGTGGCTAAGAAAAAGTTTCAGGTGAGTTGTGAATAGAAAGCTCCTTTTCTAAATAAACCCTTTTACTCTCCTGATTCATTGTTTCTTTTAGAAACTTAAGAGAGACTAACACAATTCATTTCAGTAATGGTGAGCTACACCCACTATTCTCTCCCTCCTTCAATAGCGTGGTTGTTTAGCAGCAGGTTAGTCAACTGTGGATGCACTGGAAACCGGCTAAACTGCTGAAATGCAGTCTGAATTAAAATGTTATTTTCTGCTAATGGACTTGACCCTTAACCCTCCGTTATCGCTGTCTCTTTCTCACAGTACAAACATTCTCATATGTCTCCATTAATTCTGAGCTGTATGTTACTGTCATACCGAGTCAGTAGGATTAGAGATTAAAATACTACCTCAGCCTTGTTTCTTGTCTCTTACTCAGTGATAATGAAGTCCTGATAAGAAACCTGGGTGGAAATTTGTTAGCATATTGGAAGGTTTCTCCTTCCTTTTCCCTTCTCCCCTCTACATACGTAGGAGACCTCCTTCCCAGTTTGTGAGTTATTGGTTCTCTTTAAACCTCCAGCCCTCACTGACACACATTTCCCACGTGGCATTTCACTTGCTGTGATATTGCCATACCATAAGCATTTAACAGTTGCTAATTAACCTTGTTGCCTGGTCTGAATAAAAAAATTCTGACTGCAAACTTTCTAAGAATGTGGTTTCTAAATAGATATCATTAATCCAATAAGAACATGTGTCAATAGCCTTCAGCTTGATTTAAACCAGGTGAATATACATATGTATAAGAAATACATTACTTTACTTAAAATTACTTAATAAGGGACAATCTTTGGAGAACAGGCATCACTGAAAATGCAAAGAAGGAGAGGGCCTTACCTGCCCACATCGATTTTCATATATAACCTTGCCACTACTGCTTACAATAGACTGAAAAGCTTTCTCACCCTTAATCTGGACCCCCTGAAAAAGGGAAGGTGTCCTTTTTCCTTTAGATTTGAAGGGCACAAAGTTTAGGATCAAAAAGATGATGATGGTGGTGATGACTAACAGTCCAAGAGATCATTGTTTCTATAAGGCGATGCTTGCTGCTACTTCAAAACCATGATTCTGACTTCCTCGTCAGAACACTTCCCCGCCTGAACACTTCAGCGGTTTTCTACTTTGTTTTCTTTTTATTTTTACTGAAGTTCATGAGCTTCTTTATGGCTAAGATTGCCTGAGCTTTTCATTTGTTTCCATTATGTATAATGTATTCAGACTGTCACCATTTAGGCTGAAATCTCCCATGTCCAGGGTTTTCCTGGAGACAGCTCTTTCAGAAAGTTTCTGCAAGCACATGTAATCTGTTTATTTTTATTAGACTAGAATTAAGAAAGGTGCAATGTCTGGACTACTCAAAAATAATTTTTATAGTCATTTTGTTGAGAAGATCCTTAACACTTGCTGGCTAGCACTTAATAGCTTGGCAAGGGACATGGCCCATTCCAGTGATGTGTCTGCTGCTGTTCCGTGAAAAACTGCCTAAATGTGGCCAGTTCCATTAAACTTTAATTTATTCTCATTCTAAAACCTAATTGTGATCCTTTGCTCCGTGGTAATTACTGAATCATTGCTTTCATAAATTTAGATCATAAAATACTTGCAAGGGTATTAGCTGAACTGCTTAGAAACAAGAAATCTACACATTTCCTATCTACCTCCCAAGTGGTACTTGTCAAAAACAGATTTTGAAAATGCCTGAGCACTGTGTGCAACATTATCCACCTGGCAAATAAACGAAACTCCCCTGCGGCAGATGATTTGATAGAAGCTGAAAAAGCATTTGACTGAATAGAATGGGACTATTCAGTTCATGCTTAAGACTTGTTTGTGCTCAGTATCCCGGCTGCTAATCTGGCTTCTCAATTGTACTCTCACTTTCGCATCTGCAAAAGACCTGGTCTTGGCCATCTACAAAATCCTTCAACAAGGTGTCTCTCATCCTTCTTTAGTAGTCTTTCTTCTTCCTGAGCTATCAATATTAGTTGTTACTGAAGAACTAAAAATGTCAGTTAAGCTGAAGTGAAAGGTATCTCAAATCACTCCTGTGTACAAGTGATACGCTGTTGTTTCTGTCAGAAGCAGGATCTCCCAACAGGAACGTAGGGGGGATATCTGATACTTCTCCATAATTTCTGAATGCAAGGTTATGACCAAGTTTAAAAATTTGGAGCGCACTAAAGGTACACTTTTCAAAAGCACCCAAGTAACTTAATGCACAAAGTAATCTTGAAATTCAAGCCACAAGGTGCTTTTGAAAATCCCTTCTGTAATTAAGAGATAACCACTGTCATTATTCTTTCCTCAAAAGTATGTTGTAAATCTGCTTTGTTCTACTGCATGCACATAAAATAGTCATAAGAAATTCAAATGTTTAAACATGTGCCAAGTAATGACTGTACAGTTTCTAAGAACCAGTCCAAAGCAATATCTAAAATTAAGGTAAAGCAGAAGATGCATTTTAATGCTGTACCTTTCAGCATTTAAAAGGTCTGCATAGCTGTTTTCTCATAGATATTTGCCTTTGAAGCTTTTGTGTGTTTATATGAAAGTATCTTCCTGAAAGAAAATTCAGAATTTTTTTTTTTGGTAACAGTTGAAGAAAACCCAAATTTTAGCTGAAGTCCATTGGACTATTCATGCTTAAAATTAGCTGTAACATAACTAATTGCAAGGCCAGCACTTAAAAGGAATGTTTTTTAGAGATGCCTCTGAAGCATTCGGGGAGGAGAAGCATAGGAAGAAGGAAAGGAAGAGGAAAATTTTGCAAAATAGGTCCCAGCATGAACTCAGCATGGTTCTTAAACTATACCAGCTGTTTGCAGGATACACCTGTATGCCTAAATTTGCCTAGACACATTTTTTTAAGAGCTCAGTTAATGACAGGGGGTGATGGCACCACCAGGACAAAAGTCCATTAGACAGCAGAGCCTTCCTGTTTAAAAAGATTAAATAAAATAAATAAAGATAAGCTAAACAGGGATACAAAGAAATTTCAAAGGACGTGAAAAGCAATTCTTTGTGAAGTACCACACTTGGGCATCATTTCCTCTTTAAAAGAAGGGGAGAAATTTATGATCTATTTTGAAGTCCAGGTTTGAATATAGACCCTATGATGATGATGTCAATGTAAGAACCCAGCATAACATTATAAAGAATTAATACCTTTTTATGGATGTGTTTATGCTCTTGTAAAGTCTGTAGGACTGTTTCAAATTGTGTAGGGGAGATCATATTCTGCTAGTAGTCAGCACAAGTCCTGTGCATCAGTTAAGGTGAATGGCTCGTGGTTAGTGAAGATTCCGTAGATTATATGGAAAACAGTATTTAGAAATTAATGGTTTTCTAGGCTTTGTTCACCCCACCTACCACAGAAGAATTTCATATATTACTTATAATTCAGATATCTTCAGCACAGTTTGACCTTACAACTGAATTTCAGAAAGAAAATCACCACCCTCGGTTATTCCATTAGCTGGATTCATGAGTAAATAATGTTTGTCTTCCAATTAGGAAAGTTTCTAAATATCTTAAGACTTACGTACATGGATACTACTGTGATATCCATCACAGATCCAGAGACCAGGGATTTGATCTGATTTCGCATTGTCATTTTGAAATGTTTTTTTCTCTTCCATGTAAATTCTTCCTGTTGAGTAAATCAGTTTCCTTCTAAAATATGTTTTTAACTTGTGTTATGTTTTTCACCATGGCAAATAGTCTATACATAGCATAGACTAAAAATACAGGTTGCAGTTCCACTGATGACCTGAGTAAATGTTGCCTGGTTTGTTACAACTTCACTGGAAAATCTTGCATTTACAGTCTTACAGTTCATCATCTTACGTAATTCATTTGTCATGGTATGAATCATGAATTGTATATGTCATCTTTTCTAATCTCCATACTGGGCTGTACGAAACAATGTAGTTCAGAGTGTCCTGTGCTTCAAAGGATGTTCTGCCCATTTTATTTGACTGTTACTTGGTTACATTTCCCAGAAATTCCCCTTGCACGTATTCCCCTCTCCCTTTCCCGGGTCTGCCTCCCTGCGCAGGCAGTTACTAGGGAACAGCCAGTAGCGCACATTTAATATCTGGCGTTGCCTTTTGTGCCTTTTGCAAACTTTCATATGTGATGGGGGAAATTTTAGCTCATTTAAGAAGACTTTTGCCATGAGTATTGGTTAATTAGCAGAGGGACAAAAGTAAAGAAGAGAAGAAGTTAAGGAAAGCTGTTCCAGTTAATCTTGCTGTTTGTTGGTTAATTATGGTCGTCTTCTTTAATATTACACAAAAGTTTTTTTATTACTAGTAGGTCAGATTAAGGCTTTCCCATGTATGAAGTGCAAATTACAGACACAGGACTTCCTCCCTGGTCATTCCTTGCACCAATATTTTCCCAGTATTTCCCAGAAGTGTTGAAAGCTCATCCAGTCTTTCTGAAGAGGAAATCAGTCACACAGCTTCAGCCAGGACTCTGCTTTACCCTTCCCATGGTAAGATGAACTGAGAACTCCAGCTGTCTTGCTGCTGACTGCAAATAAGGCCTACGGCGTGTGAAAGACCCCTTTACTCTTTGGTAGCAGAGGACTACGAGCCTTATTTCCAGAAAAAACTAAGAGTGACCACAAACTTCTAAGCAAAGTGCCAGATAGAATTTTTTGGCCCCAAGTTCTTTTGGCCTCGAGTTCGGTGGATAATCTCTTGAAAGGCGTGTAGACCTGCAGTAACAAAAATATCTCAAATGTTTACACAGTGTTAAAAGGGGTTAAAAGAACTTATGATTTACTCTCAAAAAAAAAAATCTACATTACCATAGATTATTGCTACATCCTTGCGGCTTAAAGACATGGTTTTTGTTTTTTATTTTACAGCAAGCTAGAAAGCCCTATGATGTCCGAGATGTTATTGAGCAGTATTCTCAGGGCCACCTCAACCTGATGGTGCGAATCAAGGAGTTACAGAGGAGGTATGTCAAGTTCAGCATCTGTACATCAGGTTCCGTGTCCATATCCATAAACAGCAGCAGAGAGATGTTTGTAAAGAAGTCAGTGATTAGAGCTGAGGATCAAAAGCTGACAGGCTTACAGGTGCCATATTGGTAGGACTGTGCAAAATTATGGAACATAAAATGGCATTCAGTAAAGTTGTTTTTTCACACAGGAAGGAAAAGGCAAAGAGCTTAAAAATCTGATGATCAGGACTTACAGTTTTCACTATAATTACATACAGCGCCTCAGTCCTTGCTAGCTTTGACTACATGCTGTAATCCCAGTCTGTTAGGGGTATTATACTACAGAGTGGAATACCGTTGCCAGCTCTGGTAGAATTGCACTTAGGAGCAAACTAAGAGAGGACAGACAGACGCAGCAAATAAGCTGCAGAAGAACAAGAAAAAGAGGAAACAGTGCTGTTCACATGGAAAAGCGATGGGCATGGTGAAACTTTGCAGTGCTTAAAGAAGCTAAACACCAATCTAAGTCTAATGTTATTTTGTTAATATCTTTTTAATTTCAAGCTATTCTTAGCCCAAAGCAACTGCTTCACTTACAGTACAAACCAGAACTATTTGAACTTCACTTTGCTTGTTTTTAAAGAGGTCTCCCCCCTCCAGCTAGAGAAAGTAAAGATGCTGATTCAGGCTAATAACAAAAATTATTCTTTTGGGTTTTTTAGGTTGGACCAATCCATAGGGAAGCCATCTCTTTTTATCACCGTCTCAGGTAAGTTAATATGAAGGATGTGTCTAAAGTTAATCTGATGAAGATACAATTAATGAAAAATACTTGCTAAAATCCTTTTTATTTTGTTGCCAAGTTTTTAAACAATGCCAACCAGTTGTGGTCTGAAGTTTAGGCATCTACAATAATATTTAGTCATCAACACTTTTAAAATATTTTAAAATAGTGCTTATTTTGATATTTAAAGCACTTACTTTCATGGAAGTTTTCAAAATGTTGGCTCTAACCTCTCTGAGACTCACTGTATTTTCAATAAAGTGGCATGCTATGATTACCGACTTCCTATGAAATCAGTAATATTCACGTAGAGCTCTGATAGCTTTGAAAAGAGGCCGGAAAAGGAGCAAAAAGTACTAAGTTTGTTTGTGACAAGTCTGGCTAATGAAACCTCTCTGTTACTGTCATTTTGAAACTCGTGTTTCTATATAGTTTATGGGGGCGGAGGGGGAAGATAACATTTTACCCAATGCGTTGTTCAAGCCAGCTGTAGAGTCTTTTGCATAGTGCCAGATTGTTTTTAAATGGCAATTAAAACCGTAACTAAATTGGGAACAGTTTTTTTCTCCCAGGTTAAAGCATAAAACTAAGGTGGAAAGTGCCTTAAACTTAAGGGCTATTAAAAGCCGTGGCGTGGGCTAATGCTATAAAAAGAAACAAAAAACTGCTTTTAAGGAATATCAAAGGTGTTCAGTTACACTGCATTGGTGGGCTAGTTAAACACACCCTGTTGTGGCTTGCTGCTACTTTCTTATACCCCCATATATTAATTTGAAAATGTTTCTTGTTCCTCAGAAAAAAGCAAGGATCGAGGGAATAACACGATTGGTGCCAGGCTGAACAGAGTGGAGGACAAGGTAAGCCTCAGTCAGACTGGCAGGGAGTGCGGATATGGTCTGTGATTGAACAGTGCTTGTTTCATAGGATGTGGGGGAAAAAACAACTTAAAATAGAGTTGAATGCCTGGCTTTTCCAGGTGATGGAGCATATTTTTTGTTGCGGATTGCATTTTTGGTTCTTCATGTCATTTTAACAGAAGAAGAAAAAAACAGACTTCAATTGATTTCAATCTCTTTTGGGACTTGCTTAGGTTTTTGATTTTTAATTGTATATATTACACATATCTCAATGCTCTACTTCCTTCCTGCACAATAGATAAAAGGCTCTGTTTCTTTAATATCTCAGTATATTATGGTCCCTAAGATTTCCCTTTGATCGTTGCTCTGTTGTTTATATAACTCCACCTACAATTCCTTAGAGAGAGCGAGAGTAAACCTTGTTCTGTCCTGGTTTTCATTCCTTATGACAAATGGAGTTTCTCCTTTCAAGTGACACGAAGCCAGAAAAAATCAGACTTGTTCTATAATCTCAAATTAACTGTTAAATGCTTTGTAACCCTTTATTTTGATGCTGGCTCTGCTTGAAAAACTGGATGACACTTTGCTGATGTCTCGTAGTGATCTGGTGAGGGGGTGAAAGAATTTCTGTATCTTAGGATTATTTCACTCATGTATCTATTCATTCGGTATCATGGAGTGAAAATTTTTCTTGAGGAAAATAGCTTTCAGAGTATTTCTTCCACAACTGGAAGTATGTGATAACTTCATGAAGGATTTCTTCTGAAGAAACATCCAGCAAATATTCTGCACACCAACAGAGGTGTGAGCGATACATCCCAACGGATGCAAACTGAGCACCCCGATCTGTATGGATTCACTTGTGACATATCTGTTCCTTACATATTTGTCCTTGCATGCTTAAGGTAAACTTGAATAATAGTACTGAGAACCATAATTCAATCTACTGGAAATAAATGGAATTTTAAAGAGAACAGGTGCCTTTTGGTATATAGGGTGACACACAGAAAGGGTGAAGTAGAAGATAGGAAGGTACAGTGCATTTTGCACAAAGCTGAATCACTGTGCAGTTTCTGCTGGAATCTGTGGTTGGTAAGTGTTCTTACACATGGAAGCCCTTTCCAGAAAGTTTGGATTACATTTATTTATTTTCTCTCCGCAATGTCAACTGAAAGTGTGGAACACTAAAAAATGTCTTGTGACTTGTGACAAAGAGCAATGACTTTTCCGTTTGGACAAATAATTCTCAAATGACAGCTCAAATAGCTTCTCAGTGCTATTTGTAAAATCTCCAACGAGCCTGGGAAAGCTTTGGTGGTGTACTGGCTCAGAGATAAGCTATTTTGGGGTTATTAATTACTCTTTTTACGTCCTTACAAATAAGTACACCGTGAATTTATAGTGACTGTTGTTTTATATCTTGTAATGGGACTGTAAAACACTCCCTGTTTAATTTTAGTATAGCTGGGTTAAATTTTAGCCTCGTTTTAAGTAACAGACCCTTCTTTCTTTGCAGTTGCATGAGGTCATCTGTGGTTTCAGAGTTGTATGTTATCTGCCATGTACAGCTAGTCCTATCTGCAGGAATTTTATCTGAAAGTAGCTGAAAGGCTAAAAATAGAGAATTTCGGTTGGACTCGGTAAATGGTGGTGTTCATGAAAACACACTGGCAATGCTGAGATCCCATTTCTGCTGCAGCTATTTTTTTTGTATTTTCGCTCTCAGAGGTTGGCCTTTTCTTTCCCGTAAGATACATGGTACGTGGTATGCTTTCAACATACGGTTAAATCCTTCCTGAGCTTAGCACTGTATAAAGGATATCTATATCGGCTGGTTTTTAAGGTGACTACATGTTTTAAACAGTTATATCCCATTTGTTTTGTGGATTAGTTTTGAATCTTGGACTTCTGAAGGAGAGACTTTCAGGGGTGCAGGCCAGTGTTAGCATCTAACCACCTTTTTTGCATTTGAAAAATCTCCTTTCAGTCATTGTAAAATGAGCCGTAGCCTTCTGAAATTGGTAGTCCTGCTACAGCAAGAAATTACATAGTGCTTCCCATGCCACAGGAATAAGCTGAGTTCCTCTAATAGGTCTTTCTCAGCGATCGTTAGTATGCTCCTTGCAGCAGAAGGCTGGTGTACTGTTACCAGAAAGTCTGTGTTCAAGCAGAAAGTCAGGGAAGAAACCCTGAGCCTTCATCGTTTAAACTTTTGGGTGCTTCTGCTTATGGAGGTCTGCTGTCAGTCCATGATCTGCCACTAGCGCATCACAGGGGCAGAATCCAATTTTATTATATTCCTATAGGTTTTTGTGGAGGTGGATTTGAAATTGAGAAGGTTTTACAAATAAAGCTAATTCCGTCTTCAAGAGTAATGTAATTGTGTTTCCGGAACATCATGTCACTCTTGCAAAGCTGCTGTACTTGTGGCACAAGCAAACGTGCTCGAGAGGCACATGTATGGCTGGCAGTACAGAGGAGACGGCATCTGAAAGGGACATTTTAAAAATAAAATGCTTAGAGTCAAACAGCAGTACATTGACAGGAATGATGATACCTTATGGCACAAATTTGAATTTCAGAGTATTGAAAACAGAAGAAAAAAATCATGTTTTCTTCTTTTAAGTTTAGGAACATGTTTATTTGGAGGAGGGTAGTGTCTGTAGATTCTGTTCATCTTGTGCACTGAGTGGAACTTTGACCTTGTAATATATACAGTTTGTGATAATGAAACTAAAGATCGTTTCCTAATATGCAAAAGACAGGGGGATGAATCGCTCTTGCAAGAACCTTCCTGAAGATTCCTCCCCATATAATTTTTTAATTTTGCCAAGCAACTGAAAAGGTGGTTTTGTAAATGTAACCAGAAACTGCACAGCCTGTTAGGCCTTCGTGAAAAGAAAATCCCAATCCGACACGTAATCACAGCACACTTTGACTTTGCCATAGTTCTCGTTATGAAGCCAAGGGCAGCTGAGGCTGTGTTGTTCTGGTGTAGAAGGCATGTAGCTGCAGCAGCTCAGGGCCCAGACCGAGCTCATAAACCCCGCTAAGTAGCTGTGGTCCAAGTGTGTGCATGTAGACATGCTGATCTGGCCCCTCGGAGAATGTTGTTGAGCAGGATTACAGCAGCGAATCAGTTTATTTGCGGTAGCCGGGTCCTGCACTTCAGTCACCTGCCCCGCAGAAAAGGACCTGGGGTTGTTGGTCGACAGCGGGCTGAACATGAGCCAGCAGTGTGCACAGGTGGCCAAGAAGGCCAGCGGCATCCTGGCCTGTCTCAGGAATAGCGTGGCCAGCAGGAGTAGGGAGGTGATCGTGCTCCTGTACTCGGCACTGGTGAGGCCGCACCTGGAGTACTGTGTTCAGTTTTGGGCCCCTCAGTACAAGAAGGACACTGAGGTGCTGGAGCATGTCCAGAGTAGAGCAATGTAGCGGGTGCAGGATATAGAGCACAAGTCTTATGAGAGGCAGCTGAGGGAACTGGGATTGTTTAGTCTGGAGAAGAGGAGGCTGAGGGGAGACGTTATCACTCTCTACAACTACTTGGAAGGAGGCTGTAGTGAGGCAGGTGTTGGTCTCTTCTCCCAGGTAACTAGCTATAGGACAAGAGGAAACAGCCTCGAGTTGCACCAGGGGAGATTTAAATTGGATGTTAGGAAAAATTTCTGTACTGAAAGAGCTGTGAAGCATTGGAATAGGCTGCCAAGAGAAGCGGTGGAGTCAACATACCTGGAGGTGTTCAAAAAACATGTAGATATGGCACTTCGGGACATGGTTTAGCAGGCATGGTGGTGATGGGTTGACGGTTGGACTTGATGATCTGTTCCTGAGGAATTTCACTGTAACATTAATAAATTTGCTGTTTTATTGTATCACAAGGTAAATTGTAATCATGCCATTAACAATGAACTCCCAGCCTATCCAACACAGAAAGATTTAGGACATGCTCCGGAGCCCATTAAAGGTGATGGGAGTCTTTCCTTTGACCTGGCAGGCTGTGAAGCAGGCCTTTTAAACAAAACATGAGGTAGCCTCGATGAGCCAACATTTCAGCCTTCCTTCGTCACGGTAGGCAGAAGCATTAAGATTTATCAAAGTTGTATGCCTTTGAGAGGATTTTTTCTTTAGGTTATTGTGGTACAGTTTTTCTCAGTAACATGAATGTGTTACATGACAGCATTTCTGTCATAAATGGAAGTATAAATCTGTACCTATATGTGTTTTATTTTTGAATGCTCCATATTTACAGTCCTACAAGTGTACATTAGGTAGTTTAATATTTTGCTTGGAAAATTATTGTCTCTTCTTCCTGGGTTCAGAAGTACCAGGTTTCATGCTGACAGCTTGATCACCTAAGAGAATTCTTCGTGTGTGGCCAGTCTTCCAATTTTCAGTGAAATATCTGCCTTATCTAACATAGGATCAAGCTTTGGTGGGGTTTTTTGTCTATTTTTTATAGCATTCTGTAGCCTGTGGAGGCAGTTACTGTGCTTCCTGGTGTAACATAGCAATTAGTGCAAACTTCGAAAAAGGCCTTGATGGGTGATGGCCTTCTTGCACATCAATATGCAATGGACAGGGACATTTTGGCTTTTTTTTAAATTGAATAATGATGCTGAAAAATTCATGGTAAAAGACTGACAAGCAACCATCTTCTGACTGTACTGGCAACCATGGTTAGAGCCGTAAGTCACCAGCTGGAAGAGCCGACTTTGGAAAATGTCTGGCATGGAAATGTTCAGCACTTTGCAGGCTGAACATATGCGAGGCAGTTAAGGTATTGAATATTGGCAGCTTCTGCAATAGGTGTGTGAGGATTCACCTGCCTGATAGCTAGAAACAGAACGAAAAACTGTGGGTTTGGATGGAAATCTTAAAAGATATGCAAAATCAATAAAAATCAAAAGAACCACCGCCAAGCAGTTACTCATCTTGTATATAGTTCTTGCAATAATGCAGAAGTAATAACCTGTGGGATGTGGAGGAATATTGAGGCA